TGCGACAACAGCAACACTAACAGCAATTTATCAAAACAACACCCAATTAGCAACCAATTATTACAATAAAACTGAAATAGATGCTAATAATTGGATTGATAATACAGCATTGGCACCTTATGCCACAACGGCAACACTAACAGCAAATTATCAAACGAAATCACAACTAGCAACCAATTATTACAATAAAGGCGAGGTAGATACATTAATAGCAGGAGCAGGTGGCGGTGTCAGTAATCCAATAGAATTGGTAGATGCTAACACAAGCATTGAAAAATACACGAACGCTACAAAGTCAAATATTTCATTAGACTTATCAGTAAATGAAACAGCAAGTGCCATAAGATTAATTAATGGAACTAATGACGATACTGACACAAACACTTATATAGAATGTAATAACACAACGAATGGAACAACATTTTTTAAACACGTATTTTTTAGCGAAGCGATGATTATTAATAACGATACTGTATTTTTACCAGATAGTGCTAACGGTATTTCATTATGGCATATTTCCAATAACGCAAACCCAACACTAAGAATTAGAGACGGAACGGCGCAGTGGATATATGTCAATAATAATTTAAGATGCACGAACGAATGAAGAAGAGGGCAATATTATGATCTTAAATGATAATAGTGCTTCTAATAATTCTAACAGGATGAGATTAGGAAGTTTGACAAGTGCAGAAGTAGGGACAGGCAAAGCAAACGAAAGCGGTTACTTTTTATCAGTAGGCGGAGCTACGAAAGTACATAGTTTAGAAATTGAAAATAATATTACAATGAATGGAGATACAATAACAGCAACAAATAATAACGGTATTGAAAGATTTAAAAATACAACAAACGCCAGTAATGTTTTAACTGTTAAAAATGCTCAAGCATATATTAAAATTCATTCATTTAATATTATTGCTTATAATACAAGTAATGATCAACAATCATTATTATTATTGAATACAGCAACAGCAGGCGGAGCAGTATATTGTAATAATTTAGGCATTGGAGCAATAGCAGGAGGAGCTACAAGATTAAATGTAGCGGGTGGAGGTAATGCTAATTTCGGTGGCAACTGCGTATTTAATGGTAATGATAATACATTTCAAAATAATATTTTAATTAGTAGTAGAGGAAGAATATATCAACAATCAAACGCTAATTTTTCATTAAATCATATAGCAACAATAGAACAAAATTTTTGTATTCAAAGTAATAGAACTGTTGATCCGACACAATCTGATATATTTGTAAATTTAAACGATGTTACAGGAATAACATTGAATAAAGCTACTACGTGTAATGAAACGCTTGATATAATAGGTAATTTAACTTGTGAAAATGAATTTAGAGTAGATATAGGAGCAACAGGAACACCAGAATTTAGAGTATTAGGCAGCAGCGTTAATTTCTTTGAAAAAGCAAGTATTACGCATACACAACTAGCAGGGCCAATAGACCAAATATTTTTTAGAAATCCAGAT